CGAGCGGGAGGTGGGGGGGGGGGCGCCGGCGAGATGAATTTGTTTTGATCCCGCCGGCCCTCCCAGGACAGCTCCGAGCTCTTAGAGTCACTTCCTCCTACAGTGGCGAAAGTCTGCGGACCTTCCCCACCAGACTTCGGAAGTTATAAAGCTTTTTACATTACCAGGATAAAAGCACAGACGTGTAATTGCATATTTATAAGAACATGCGTTCCATACAGCCACACATGTGTCCGCTGATATACATTAGAAAGGGTACACTTTCGGCTATACACACACACACACACACGCACACACACACACACACACACACACACACACACACATACAAATATATATATATATATATATATATATACATATATATATATATATATATATATATATATATATATATATGTATATATATATATGTATATATGTATATATATATGTATATACATATACATGTATATATATATATATATATATATATATATATATATATATATATATATATATATATATGTGTGTGTGTGTGTGTGTGTGTGTGTGTGTGTGTAATAATATATGTGTGTGTGTGTGTGTGTGTGTGTATAATATATATAATGTATATATATATACATATATATATATATATATATATATATATATATATATATATATATATATATATATATATATATATGTGTGTGTGTGTGTGTGTGTGTGTGTGTGTGTGTGTGTGTATGTATATATATATGCATATATATGTATATATATATATATATATATATATATATATATATATATATATATATATATATATATATATACATATATATACTGCATGGGAATGGTAGCAAATATGACTGAAGAAAAAGAAAGAAAGGATAGAGACGCAGCGACCGAGCCCTTCCGTATGCATCGCCAAGCAATTTCCTGCGCGCGTGAAGAGGGGAAGCCAACTTCTCTCGTAACGAACAAACAATGATTGATTAAGACAGATGTAGATGTACGGAATGGAATAGGCCTAAAGATAAATGCAGATATCCTAGAGACCGGGCTCTCCTCTTGCCTCAGGGCCTACGAATTATTTTTTAGTGTTATTCAAATTGGTTTCAAATGCCTTTTCTCCTGGGGTTCCTCTGCACCTCCTCCCCCTATCCCATGCCCCCCCCCCACCTCTCCCTCTTTCTCTCCCCGGCTATATTAATGTGCGCTTAGTGGAATCCGACCATGTTGTATTTTACTCTTCATATGAATATTATAACGGAGACATGCACTTTATATATGCATTTATACATACATACACTGGATATATACATTATGAAATTCGTTTTTTTTTTATCTGTTACGGCATGATGCCAGATAAGTAAAAACATGTTAGAAGTACCGGATGTTTCCAAATAAAGTCCATTCCCTGGCAGAAAAGATAAACAACTAGACTAGTTGATTTTAGTGGCAAGTAAATCGATAGTTTTTCCTTCCAGATGTGAATCGGAGTGAAATTATACCGAATCAGGGATTCTGAGTGCCCTTGTGTGTGTGTGTAAGTGTGTTTGAGTGTGTGTGTCTGTTTGTGTTTTGTGTTTTTTTTGTGTGTGAATTCTTGTATTTCTGTGTATGTATGTTTGTAAATGTAACTGTGAGTATGTACGTGTGCGTAAGCCTGCACACCTATACAGCAACCAATTTTCGTGATATTTCCAAACTTTTCGCTCCCGGTAATTCGGAAAGTAACCGAATTCCTGCCCCATTTTCCGTCTGTCTCGAGCCGCGTAGCGAAGCAGCGATCACGGGTCGTCTCGCTCGCCTCGGTGCTTCGTTGTCCCGCCAGTCGTTAACGAGATATTGAAGCTCGAAAGTTTCGCAATTTTGAGCACTTTATTCTCGAAAAGTTAAATAATGTAAATCCATTTTATCGGGAACCGTTTTGGGAATACAATGACAAAATTCTTACCGGAAATTTCTTCCATTATTGACGCAAATAATACCGCTCGCCGTGATGCAAGACCAGTGCATGGCGCCCTCACGCAGCTCATGCGGCATCCCTGGTAACGCTGGTAACGCAGTGGGGCTCGAGCCAACTTACAGGAGATAGGGGACCATGCATAAGCTCACTTATACAATTCGCTTACTCCTGCTTGTTCATAAGATACGGGGCCGCTTACTCGAGCTATAAAGTAAGAGATCGCTTACTTACTTATATAACAATATTTATATATGTTATATGTGAATATATTATGTATATATTGTTATATATGTGCATGTATATATCTGTGTGTCCTTTTTACCTTCCCCCCCACCCCTTCCCTTTAAAATCCTCCGCACGGGTCTGTTTGTAACATCACATCATTCGACTGCATATGGCTGAAATTGAGGCACATAATTAGTTATTATTGGCGAGACATACGGACGCCACAGAAGCGTGAGATTGGTTATTACATCAATGTCAGTTGATAATGAAAATGGGATGTTGTATATAATTGAGACGAGTTGTAACATATACTGAAAATCTTCTGCCATTTTAAAATATATTTGTCTTCTAATTCCATCTTCAAAAGGCAAGAAAATTGAGAAAGATAAAAAAAAAAATGTATGTACTTATACCAGTATGCATACATAAATACATACATACATGTGTATATGTATTTATTTATATACATGTGTGTGTGCATAGTTATGTATGTATATAGCTACCATTTTATCTGCCAATTTCCTTTGCACCTGAACCTAGGTACTGGGTCATTACCGGTCCTAAACCCCGGTAAATAAAAAGGGTTGGCATCAGGAAGGGCACCCGTCCATAAAAAATATATTTTGCCGATTACAGCGACCCCATACAAGAAAGAGACAAAGCTACAGTAAAAGACGAGGAGATTCCTTTGCACCTGAAACACAAAAAAGTCAAGAAGACTAACCCACCAGACGAAGAGGAGGGCGAGAGAAACACCTGGAATGCCCCGCCCGAACCGCCTTCCTCCCTAAACACAAACAACTTCATCATTATGCTATAAATTTTGGTAATGTTAACAGGCGAGGCGCTCCTCGGGCTCTCCGCTGGGACGCACTTTACGATATCGACGCCGGATTGAAAAATACGGGAGCGAACGCTGATATATTTCGATGATGCTTTATATAAACTGCGATACTACATCTTCCAGGAGTGATGCTGGGGACTTTATCATCGTCGGGAAGTCCGAAATATATTTATATATATATATATCTTTCTCTCTCTCTCTCTCTCTCTCTCTCTCTCTCTCTCTCTCTCTCTCCCTCCCTCTCCCTCTCTCTCTCTCTCTCTCTTCCTTTCTCTCTCTCTCTTCCTTTCTCTCTCTCTCTCTCTCTCTCTCTCTCTCTCTCTCTTCCTTTCTCTCTCTCTCTATCTATCTATCTATCTTCTTCATAATCTTCTCGTTTTTATTATTTGTTTAGTTAGTTTTTTTGTGTTGTGATTTGTCTATCTTGTTAGTACTTTTCCTTTTCATTTTTCTCTCCCTAATCTTTATCACTCGTCCTATTTATTTCTTCACAAGCACGAAATTCGTGTTTTTCGTGTTCTCTTCCGTTTATTTGGTTATCAGAATTAATATGCAAATGAACCTCGTAAATAAGAACTCAAAATAATGCTCTAATCAAGATGCAATTCCACAGGCTGGCGAGTGAAATCAATATTAGCTAAAAATATTAGCCGTGTCTATTTCTTTACTCATTATATATATATATATATATATATATATATATATATATATATATATATATATATATATACATTGTAAAGGGTTGTTAACTCATGGTGATGGTTTTTTCCCTAATCGATATTCCAAACTATCGATCGGTTATTTGGTTGTTTATTTGTTGCGTATGTCTGTGTATGGGAGGCGTTTAGTTCCCGCCACCGAGGCAATGACGGTGACCCCTCAGCATGGTCAGTCACTTAGCTCCGATCTTCTCGACTGATCACATGTGAGTACACCGACCTATATTTTATATCATGGCTACAAAATTGTAATGCTATTTCAATATATGTACATTTGGCAAAACCTTGTATCCATTACTTTGTTTTTTCAGCCTCTTTATATTTATGGACAAGCCAAGCAGATCGTACCCTAGCAGTGCTCTACCACCTTGTCCTAACGACTCTCGGAGCCCTACATCTTGGCCCTGTGATTCTCGGTGCCTACGACTTTCGGTGCCCTACATCTTGGCCCTGTGATTCTCGATGCCCAACAACTATCGAGTGCAACGAACTCGCCTGATTGTAACCTGGCAGTTGTAATATTGATTTGGGAACAATTGTAAATAATTATGAATATATTGTATTTGTGTAAATCAAGTTTTACTTTATTCCTCGAGTGGCTAATCCAGAGATCATTCTAAAGAACCAAAAAGGGGATTCTAAGACCATATAAAACAAACCCCTGACAAAGTGGCGCAGTGAGTAGGATGATCCACATTAGCCAATACTCGAGGTTTGATTGCAGATGCTATTAATTAACTTTGTGTATCCCCAGTTTGTAACGAGAAGGGCGGAGAAAGTGACCGGCTGTGCTGAGCGGAGAGGTAACTAAATGGAGGATGTGAGGACTACTGTATGGTCTAAGTCTGGTGTTGGATGTGTGATGAGTGTGTGTAGTTGTAATTTTCCTACATTCGTGTCATACTTGTGAAGGTTTGAGTTGTCGAATCCCACTTGCCATCCACACTCGTACAAGCGACGTGTTTTCGTCGATTAATGCCATGTTCGATTGCTTAGTGTGTATGCCTAATTACATGGTAGGGTTTGGTCTTGAAATTCATTTATAATTCACGACTGGTATGCCCGGTGATTGTTACTCGTTCGTGACGTCACCTTGTCTTAATTGTAAGGCGTCGTATTTTTGCCATTACCATTAACGACTTCAGTTACTTGGTGCAATCAGTAATATACTGAGCACTAATTAATATTAATTTAGATATTAAACTTTATTGTTTAATAGTGTTCCCCTGGCATTTTTTTTTTAGTTGAAAAAAAAAAAGTTCTTTTCTTTAGAATAATAATGTCCACTTTTAATATCGTAGATATTGTAAAGACCGCCCAAGATGCGGGAATTTCTCCAGCAGATATAAATAATTTAGTTGCACGTGAGGAGGAGAGATATAAAGGAGAAGTAGAGAGGGAAGAGAAGCAAAGAGAAAGAGAGGAAAGGCAGAGAGAAAGGGAATTTAAGAAATTAGAATTTGAGGCAGAAGAAGCGAGGAAAAGACGCCAGCATGAGTTAGAATTAGCTAAATTGGGCATTGGAAGCCAAGGTTCCGTAGTTAATGCAGGTCAGTCTGCTTATCCAGATTTGAAATTGCCTAACTTTTGTGAGAGCAAAGATGATATTCATGATTATCTTGCGCGTTTTGAGAAGATTGCAGAAATACAGAATTGGGAGGTAGAACGTTATCACATTTACCTTGGAGCACAATTGACAGGAAAAGCCTTAAAAACTTATATTAATTTGCCTAATAATGTTCTTTCTAACTACGAATTGGTTAAGGATGCCTTGCTTAAAACTTATTGCTTAGATGCCGAGTCTTATCGTAAGAAATTCCGGGAAAGCAAAGTGAACGAGACAGAATCGTATGTTCAACTAGTTACTAGAATGGAACAGTACCTAAGAAATTGGATAAGTCTTAGTGAAGTGAGGGAGGATTTCAACGACCTTTGTGACTTCCTTGTTAGAGACCAATTGCTGAGCAACTGCTCTTTAGATTTGCGGATATTTTTAAAAGAGCGATTATTTGACAACACTCTTGATATGGCACAAGCTGCCGACAGATTCAGAGCTGCACATCGCAATATTAAACCGCGGAAGACCTTCTCTGCGAGAGAAGAAACGAGCGAAAGGCGCGACGCAAAGTCCGACGTGGTATGTCACAATTGCAAAGCTACGGGGCACATTCGACCTAATTGTCCTGAATTAAAAAGATCGCGGTTGGGGTCATCTAAGGTTAACTTCGTTTTTGAATCGGATCTTACTCCGCAGAACAGTGTTACCGACGATGCGATTTTATTTAACAAACCTGTTAATGCTCTCTTTGATTCTGGATGTTCAACTATTATAGTAAAAGATTCGCTGATTCCCCCGTATGTAAAACGACGAAAGACCATTACACTATACGATTACCTAGGCGTCGGCAAGACTTTTCCCGAAATACGGTGCTTCATAAAGAGTCGCTTTTTGACTGGATGGGTGAATGCCGTTGCGGCACCCATCAAATTCACCGACATACTAATCGGAATGGTACCCGGGGTCAAGATGCCAGCATTAGATTTAACGGGCAAGACTAATAATGGCAAAACTTCAGCGATTGATAAACATGAAATTGCAAGTGCCGATAACTTAGTCATGGAAATTCAGACTCGAAGAGGTAAAATGGCTGACCTTGCTAAACCTCGTGCCTTAAATGTACCAGAACTTATAATTAAAGATATCACAAAACAAGAGCTGATGGAAGAACAAGGCAAATGCGTAACTCTAAATGACATAAGATCAAAAGTAGAAAGAGGGAGTATAGTAAATGTCAAACATAGAACAGTAAAGTATGAAAAAGTTAACGATCTCATCTATAGAATTTGTCTTCAAAGTAAAAATGAAAATGAGATTGGTATGAAGCAATTAGTTGTCCCTCGTAAGTTTAGACATATCATCTTGTCAACGGCACACGATTCCCCTGTTGCAGGACATTTTTCGCATCGTAAAACATCTGAGAAGATATTTTACAAGTTCTTTTGGCCAGGCGCGGGTGCCGATATAAAGCGCTTTTGTCGTTCGTGTCCAACGTGTCAAAGATCTTCCCCTAAAGGCAAAGTCAAGAAAGTACCATTGGTGTCCATGCCCGTGATAAATGAACCGTTTTCTCGCGTTGCCATAGATCTCGTAGGCCCGTTATCACCTTCAGAAAGAGGCCATCGGTATATCTTAACTCTAATAGACTGCGCTACTCGTTTTCCTGAAGCTGTTCCTCTACGCAGTATCGATACGGTAACTGTCGCTGAAAACCTAATTGATATATTTTCGCGTGTCGGTATTCCTAAAGAAATCTTGTCAGACCGCGGCACACAGTTCAAGTCCGACCTTATGAACGAGATAAATAGACTTTTGTGTGTAAAGGCTCTCTATACAAGCCCGTATCACGCTTGTTGCAATGGCACAGTAGAGCGGTTTCATGCAGTTTTGAAATCCATGTTAAGGAAACTATGTACTGGAACAACCAAAAGACTGGGACCGATACATTCCCTCGGTGCTATTTGCCTACCGTGAGATTCCTAATGACACTTTAAAGTTTTCTCCTTTTGAATTGTTGTATGGCCG